GCCTCGGCCTCCCAAAGTGCTGGGATTATAGGCATGAGCCACCGTGCCCGGCGGTGTTTAGGTTTTAACTGGTTTCTTGTCTTCCTACTATTAAAAAAAAAAAAGGGGGGGTGGTGGGGGGAAGCAAAAGTCCATAGAACATCAGCAAGGCCAGTTAAGTAGAAAGTCACGCCAGTGTAAGAATGAAAGCATCGCCAAAATGTCTTATATTTTAATAGTTCCATAAATTTTAGATGACAATAAGGGAGAGTGTTATATTCTCCAAGCAAAAGGCTGTAAGGGAAACATTTTTCTTCACTTTATGGCAAAGCATGTATTTAAGATGTTATAAATATGAAAACCACCTTTATCATCAAATCATATAGCAAATCTGCACAGAACATAAGAATTAGATAGAATTAAGAATTTGTGCTTATGCTGAAGACAGAACAGTATTATTTTGTCTACATTTTCCAGATTATTAATAAAAGCTAACTCCAGTGGGAACTAGATACAATGATTTATTATTTTAACACAAAAAAGTCTTAGTTGCATCTTCTAATAAAATAACATGAAACTGATGCAGTGCTATTTTTAATTCTGCTATGTAATTTTGAGCTGATGGCATATTTTCTGTATATATATGAAAACTTTTTCACTCTGTTGTCAAATATAGCTCATTTTGGATCATTTAACTTTAAATGTCATTATGCTAAGGACTAAATTTAGTGAAAGCAATAAAACTTGAATCTATTTAGTCAATAAGCATTTATTAAAGGTCTTCTATTTAAATACCTCTTTTCTAATTCCTTCGAATCAGAATTAAAAATAGCACTACATCATGTCAATACATGTCACTTACAATACATGTCACTGTACTGTAAGACACCATACTTTCCCCAGAATTCTGTGGAGAAATAGACACTGAAACACAGGGAGGAGCCACAGTCTTTGACTGAATTGGTTTTGGACTCCCATCATTTTCTGTCCCATCAATCAACCCATTTGTCACATAATTCACCGTTTAATTTAATCTCTAGTCTCCATTTGTCTTAGAATTCCCAAATGCCTTTCAATTTTCCTTTTGGAAATTACCAAATTTCCTCATTTAACTAATCCTCTACATAATGAAAACATTATTTGTGTTTCTAGTCCAGAGAAAAAGTTATTTACTCAATTAAAAATCTGAGCATAGCTACAAGCTATCTGAAAAAGGCGTCTTAATGAAAAAGCACTTCATCATGAAGAGAAAAATAGAAAACTTTATAGAACACTTTAATGTCTTTATTCTCCCATAATGAAATTTAATTAGTTACACATTATGTGTAGACTAAAAAGTTTGAAAGATAAAGCAAATTACAAAAGGCACTCAGTCTATGGGAAAATAAACATTTTAAAATGCAGTGGGTGGGTTCAGATTATTACATTTGTATTGAATCTCAGTTCTGTAAAAAAAAAATATAAAAATGAAAGGTGAAAGATAATTTAGAGAAAAACACCAATTAGTGATAAAAAAATTAACATGCAATAAAAGATTAAAAGACTTCAATACATAGAGCTTGCCTAAGAAAGAATTAAAAAGCACAGTTGTAATATTTGAAAGGTAGTGACTATCAAAAACAGATTTATAAAACCAAAGCTTTGTCTAAAAGTCAAAGAAATTCAGCTTATCTGCAGCAAAACTGTTAGTTCCAAGTATACAGAGTACAAAGGTTAATACTTATGAGGTGAAGTTTTAGGACTGATCTAATTGAGCCAAATACTAGGAAATCATGAAAAGAATGAACTGATACCATTTCTCACATTTTTCTACATGAACTCAGAGCTATCCCCAGCTGTTACGGGATGCCACTCTTGCTACCCTGCAAATGTCTTTCCCTCTCTGCCTCAGGCAACTTCCTCACTCCTCCCAGACTCCTCCAACGCACACTCATACACTCACAAACATATGAGTACATATGCACACTCACATCAAAACTGCTGTGTGCACACACACCTACACATTACACACTGCTGTACACACTGACACCCGCATACTCACACAGATATACACTCACACTTGCTCACTCACACACACATCATTTTCTCTCTGCTTGCCCTGATACTTTCAACTCTGCTGAGCCTTTGGCATAGTTCCTCACAGTTTCTACCTAGCTAGGCTAACAGCCTTCCAGAGCACCATATACTAAACCCATCTGCCCATCCCACTAGACTCTGATTATTGAAAGCAGAAATGGTGTGTTTTTCATAAAACCTCCTAGTGCAGTGCCTGGCGTATAGAGAGTTCACAATACATTTGATAAGGGAATGAGCCCTGAACCGTAAGAATCTCTCTTCCTCTCTTTGATATAGTTCACAGTTCAGTCTTTAGTGTGACAGCATGTACTCTACTTTTATTATTCTTGCTATTCCTAGTCTTATATGCTACTACACTAAAATGCTGAAGCCCCATCTGCGAAACACGTCTTTATCTGCTGGTAGGAGCCCATGAATACCTCTCATTGCTCTGATGGGCGACTTCTTTGTTCCAGCACTTACAGAAATTCTGCATTTAGTTCTGCTTGAAAGAGTCCACTCCAATTTCATAGAAGCCTTTTACTGTATGATTGCTTTGTCTCATGAAACCCTAGGACAAAAGGCTTAACACAAAGAAGGAGTGAATTATATATTTCTTAAACGTCTGGGCATGCACTGACTGACTGCTTAAGGAGAACATTGGCACCAAGGTGCTTTGGCACCTAATTTTTACCCCCAAATAGCACATTAGATATTTTCATCTTCATCTGTAGAGAAGTGGAAATACTGTTACATACAATAATGGAAAGATTTTAATTGCATATGACTTTACATTATTTTTACATTGTGGAGTCTTGTGAAAAATTTAAAACAGTAAAAATTTTAAAAGAAAAACAATAATCATAGTGCCTCCCTTGACAGAAATTTCAAACATTTCTTGATACATAACATGTAAATTGGTTTAACCTAAAATATTTTCATTGATTGCTAGAAAATCATTTAAATCTTTTATACATTTTATAAATACTTATATATGTAATAAAACTACATTCAATATATGCTTTTGTTGCTCCTATAAAATTTGTCTTTGAAGTCTGGCATTTGCTTCCTAGAAGTTTTTTTTTTTTTGGTTTTTGTTTTTGTTATTTTTAGTAAGCCATCACCTCAGCAAATGGTGCAATTATATTGGCAGCCTTGTGGTTGGAAAGGATTATTTTCTGGGTTCCTAAGGAAATGCCTGAGCAGCTATATCCCAGGCCTCTGACTCCACCCAAGTGAGGGAGCCAGGCCCTCTTGAAAATTTCCTAATCCTTGACATGGTTTGATAGTGTGCCTTACACCAGTCAGGGGATGGTCCCTCCTACATGCAAACTGTGCTTTCATAGATAAAAACATGCTTTTCATGATGGGAACATTGGAACTATTGTTTTTATTAGAATAGGATCCCATGGGGAACTGCATGTTTTTTATTTTTAAAAGTATGTCATGGTCTTGAAAAAACTAAAAATAAATGACAAATTTGTCTTCACATCTCATCGATGCAACTTATTTTTGCTGCAAAGGCAGCGTGACTAAGCTAAGAAAACATTACCTAAATTTGATGGTGTTGACCGTCAAGGAGAGCCTAGTTTTGGTATTCAGATCCCTAAAGTCAAGAAAATCTGTCACAGATAACTTTTTATGGGGAGTTTAAAATGCCAAGGCAAAGGGTGAGGTGTCATCCACAGAGAGCAACAAGAGATTTACAGAGAATCCATATTAAACTGTTCTAGTAGATTTATGCTGTATGGAAAAGTCAGAAACTTCTCTGGGCAGATGTCAGTGGAAAGTTCTTATCCAATTTCTGTACAGTGATATTGGAGCTTGGCCTAAAATATTAAACCTGAGATCCCTTTTCAAATTTCTGCATAGTAAAATAGCTGGGAGACTTGGCTGATTTCCGATTCTGTTTTGGTGCTGACCAATGATTTGAGGCACAGGTATGACCCTAACCCTTGGCTACCTCACTCACACAGGGCTTACACCAAAGTCAAATTCATTTACGTTTATGAAAGCCTGTGAAAACTTTAGATATGACAGGATTTTGTGTTGATATAACATTATAATGTTTTAAGCAAGAGGAAAATGTGATTATAAAGAAATTGGGAAGTAATCATAGTTAAAAACAAAAAAAAGAGCAATGATCTAATCAACATCTTAGGTAATTGGAATTTCCCAAAGAGAAGACATATTTTTTAAGAAAATTGGGGTAGAATCTTAAAAGTAAGAATAGCCTAATTTGTATCATTTACAGAGAAAAATGATCACATTCTAGAGCTAATTTATGATCCATTACAATTCAGAATGACTTGGGGATCAGATCTTCAAACTCATATAAATCTAAGTCACTTTCAGGAAAACATTCGTTTAATCTGTCCTGATATTTCAGCTATTCACTTATATATTTCTAATTTTATATTTACTTAATTTTTTACATTGACATAAAATTAAATGTATTTATCATGTAAAGCATGTTTTGAAGTATATGTGTATATATATGTGTGTATGTGCGCGTGTGCATGTATATATATAATGTAAAGCATGAAGTTTTGAAGTATATATATGTGTATATGTGTGTATGTGCGTGTGTGTATATATATAAAATGTAAAGCATGATGTATATATAAGTTAGCCAGGTAACTAAACCTGGCTGATTATTTTAAGTAAATTTTCCTCCCCAAATAAAATCAATCTAAACTACGCTATATAGGAAACAAATATTCTCAGACTATTATTTGTAAATAAAGTACTACAAAAATAAGATAAACCACTTAAAAATATAATGTCAAAGAGCGGGAAATAATTTTTGAGACTTATTTTCACTTCCTAAATACGGTTTTTTCTTGTTTTTTTAAAAGCAGGTTCTTAACTCTTCCCAGTTACCTGGGAAAATGGTTAAGGGCACATGCTTCTTCCCTCATTCCTAGGGAGCATTGCTTGACTGGTGATGTTGTGGTTACTTTCAGAGCTGGAGGCCGAGGAGTGGTGCAAGCACCTCTGCATGGAGTGTCTGGGGACCAGGCTCAATGACATCAGCCTTGGGGAGCCGGACCTTCTGGCAGCAGGAGTCCAGCGGGAACAGAATGGTAGGTGTGAGATTGCCTTCCATCACTTCAGAATACCCTTGTAATTGTAGAACTCTGAAACTGGAAAGGAGCTCAGAAATGTTTCAGACCAATCATATTTTTTAAATCAAAGAGGCCGAGTGCAGTGGCACACACCTGTAATCCCTGCATTTTGGGAGCCCAAGGGTGACCCATCCCTTGAGACCAGGAGTTCGAGACCAGTCTGGGCAACGTGGTCAAACCTCATCTGCTAAAATACAAAAATTAACTGGGTGTGGTGGCCCGTGCCTGTAGTCCCAGTTTCTTGGGAGGCCGGAGCATGAGAATTGCTTGAACCTGGGAGGAGGAGGTTGCAGTGAGCCAACATCACACCACTGCACTCCAGCCTGGACAACAGAGTAAGATCCTGTCTCAGAAATATATAAATACACAATATTAAAATAAACTGAACAGTTCAAGTTATTAAGGAACTTTTCCACACTGGTGTAACAACTGAAGAAAATGCTAAGGTACAACCCAGGTCTCCCAACTTCTTGTCTGTGACCTTGCCTTTTAACCCAATAAATAACTAATAGGTTAACTTGTTCTACAGAAGGCTTTTGAATGGCTAGCATCCCTCCAGTTTTTTGAGACTTGTTACAGATTTAGAGTCTATATTAACAGATTTGGCTTATCAGGTTATCAGTAGCTTTTAGGACATTTGGCTAATATTACAAGGAGGAAAGTACAGTGAGTAAAATCTCAGGGTTTGACAAAACTGAGGTGTTTCTAATAGTGTTTACTTACTATACCGTTCTCTAGTTTAACAGGAGTTTCTAATGTCTCATAACGATTTATACTGCATGTTCATGACTAGCAACTCTAACAGAATTGAAGTAATATTATTCAGTCTGTCAATATTCATTGATTGTGAGGTCATTTTTAAAAATATTATCACCACCACCAGATGATCGAATAGTGTAAAAATAGAAACTTTTTAGTGTTGCTAAGTTTTGATAGGTTTTTTGAAACGTTGAAGGATATTGAGGAAATTTGACACTATTAAGAAGAAATTCTGGGCCGGGCGCAATGGCTCACACCTGTAATCCCAGCACTTTAGGAAGCAGTGGAGGGTGGATTGCTTGAGCTCAGAAGTTCAAGACGAGCTTGGGCAACATGGTGAAACCCTGGCTCTACAGAAAATACAAAAATTAGCAGGCCACGTGGCGTGTGCCTGTAGTTCCAGCTATTCAGGAGGCTGAGGTGGAAGGATCACTTGAGCCTGGAAGGTGGAGGTTGCAGTGAGCCAAGATTGGGCCACTGTAGTCCAGCCTGGGTGACAGAGTGAGGCCATATCTCAAAGAAAAAAGAAAAATTCTCGAATTATCTATGAGTCATAAACTAGATATTTTAGGTAAAAGAGCACATGATAGCACATGATGATTATAATCTCATTATTACTAATAATACTGTCAACAACCATTGCTAGCTCATGGCCCATTATAGCACTATTTTTTATTTGTTGCTAAAATGAAAAGTTTTTTTCTGCTAATTGTTCATGAGCATATATAAGTATCAAACATTCCTTCCATTTGAGTTTTTCGAAAGTCACAAAATCATTTCTGTAGCTCTTTAGCTTCAGGTTTATATTCCAGTTCCTCTCCCAACACTCTCTCAAATTTCATCTCCGATTTGTTTTCTGAGAGTAGTGCTAAGCACAGAGGCCCCATAATCATGCTGCTTAAAATGGATGCTCTTCATTCACAGTTTAAGAAAAGGAAAAACCTTAGTCTGATAAAAATTTGTCAAGTACTACATAGAGGAAATATGATAAAAGTGAATAAATTAAGCTTATAAATAGAAATACTATATGTCTTTTGCAGCATGGACTGTAATGCTTTTTACTTTGAAGACCTGGAGATATATATAGTTTCCATCCAAATGTATAATGTACTTCTTTGGTTTCTCATAATTTTATTCTAATTTGATAATAAGGTCAAAGTAATTTGTCTAGAATATAAAGAGAAATTTTAATACAGGGTTATTTTAGAATAGGACAAAACAGAATAAAATGCCAAAGCTACATCAAAAGCAGGTTTCTTTAAAACACACACACACACAGTCAAAATAAAGAAAAGAAAAAATTCCTGCATATACTTTATAGTGGAACTGAAATTATATCACCAATGCTATAAATGCTTTCCTTAGAGATTATGTTTAATAATCCTAACTTCAAACAAGAGGATATATGTGCTTTAAAAATATAGTCAACAAATCTATGAGTAATCATTTAGCTGGAAAAGGGTAATTCCTTCCCCTTGGAGGAAGTTCCTTATTTGACTGCCAAGGCCATGGATACAGCCATTGCTCAGGGTTCGTCAGGTCTGCACCCCCTTCTTTAAAGGGCTTCCGTAAGTTTTGATAATAATACCTTTCCTCTGTTCCTCTTGCCCATTCAGAGCCAGCTAGAACTCTTTAAAATTGGCATTAACACTTTAGGAGAATAATAAAAGGAATAAACATTTAGGCAATATCAAGATTTCAGACTCTACTCTTGCTAGCTCAATAATCTAGTGTGTACACACAGAAAACTATACATATGGAGATTGGCACAATTTCTTAGGTATATACCCCAATTTTCTCACTTTCTAATCAACAGGCTTCCCACACACTTATAATTCCAATTTAGAATGCTCTCTCAAAAAATTACAAGTTATAAAACTCATGGTAAAGACTAAGATATCTCATCCGTCAACTTGAACCCTCCCACCCAGGCCTTGGAGTAGATACCTATTTCTTAGACAATATACTCACTTATTTTACTTAAATGTGTAGGGAAAGCATTTTAGCTCACTAAAATCTTAAAAATAACTGACTTTTAAAGCTGTCATTTCACTGACTCTCAGTCACTCTTCTAGACTCTTCAAGCATAACACCTTTTAAAATAAACAAAATCATTAACTTCCTTATAACATGAAGTCACATATATATATATATATATATATATAGATTGAATAATCTTTTATTAAAGAATTGTCATGATAGATTTAGGTTTTTATTAAGACATTTTACTATTAAATTATATAACTTAATCTTCATCAGAAACATGATTTTATTATTTTGCCAGTAATGTGCTTGGATTAGTTTGAACTTTTTTCCCTAAGAGCTAAGATATGCATGTGTGCAGAGTTGCTGTAATTAAATATATTAATGTGGTTTGTGGTGATCTTGCGTATTCTATCATTAAATAAAAGTCACACCACTTAGTCTTTACCACAGCATTTTTTGACATTCAAAATTGCTACTTCTCCTCTCTCGTGTTTTCCCGCCTCTTCAGACAGCCAGGTCTTATTTACCCTGAGACTAGCTAAGAAGAGACATTTATGCAAATAATTTTTAAAGGTGAAAGATAATGTGTGTTGCTGAGATAAAAGTGAGTTTCTAAACTGCCACTCATATGCTCTAGCTTTGCCCAAAGTGAGTTCCTGAAACTACTACTCTGCCGATGATGACGATCTGCTCCCTGAAGCGAGGGAATCAATCGCTTGAACTTGATACTATCTGACAGTTGTATCCCTTCCAAAAAGATATGTTGAAGTCCTAACCCTCCACAACTTAGAATGTTAATTTATTTGGAAATAGTTTTTTTGTAAAGGCAATCAAGTTAAAATGAGGTAATTAGGGTTGGCCATAATCCAGTGACATCTAATATGTCACTATAAAGGGGGGAGGTTTGGACTCAGAGACAGATATGGACAAGGGAAGATGTGAAGATGCACAAGAAGATGGTCATGTGGCTGGAGTGATGATGCGTCCACAAGCCACGGAACATCAAGCATTGTCCATGAACACCAGAAGCTAGAAAAAGCCAGAAAGGATTCTTCTGTTGAGCAGCCAGAGAGAGGATTGGCCCTGTCAGCACTGATTACAAACTTCTAGCCTCCAGAACTGTGAGATGATATATTTCTGTTATTTTAAGCCAACCAATTGTTGGTACTTTGTTATGATAGCCCTAAGAAACAAATACCAGCCCTGCATGATAGTCACAATATACATTAGTAAAGCTGTTGAGAAGTCCTATAATAAATCTGTTTAACTTTGTATAACCCAACATTTCCCAAACTCACGTGACCTAGGGGCCTCCTTCTGCACATAACATGTATTCATATCCTGTGGGATTTGTGTTCCATGAAACACATATTTACAAATGCTGATATAATCAACAGAGGTTATTATTCTACAGGGAAAGCTGAAAGGCAATGATTATGGAAGCAGCCCTTCTAGAAGAAATAAGATGACACTAATGGATGCAACACAAAGTCTTGAATGTACCATAGAAATTTTGCCTACCATTGTGTTGTACCATTTTACTTCTATTATTTGATTTATATAGACACCACGTATAATTTTGAAAAATACAAATTATAACCACCACTTTTCTCACTTGGTCTTCGATACACACTACACCAGAAAAAGGTCAAAGCTATATTTATTTTTCCCTATACTCTGCCATATATGCTTCAGGAAAGCAAAAGATGTTTTATAGTGCTTCTCACAATGTCAAATCTAAATGATCCATTTTTCTGTGTCTAACTGTACTGTTATAAAGGAGATGTATGCATGAAGAAATATCTTGAAGCACCCAAAGGACCGATCCTGGTTCTTTTGCCCTGGGAACACCCCCTCCGCACAGTAAGAATAAAGATGCAGATTTTGAAAGCATTCACATCTATGTAAGGGGAAAAGCTTTTTGGGGAGAATACTGAATCCAGAATTACCGCTCCCAGGTATGTGCAACAAGATGAAAGAGTGGCTTGGAAGAGTTTTATGGAAAAAAAGAAATAGATCGCTTCCTTGCCTTTCCTCTTTCCATGGGAGGTCAAGTGGGTAGTGACACTTGCTTATATCATCTCGTATAAATTGGAGGTTTCTTCAAAAGAAGACTAGAATGTGATTTTCCCTATTGGGTTTAATGAAAGGCATAGAACAATTAGCAGACAATGTTACTGGAAGCCAGAGAGATTTAAGAAAGTAAAGAACCT